GAGAAACATTGTTCTAAGCATATTTACAAAATATATAGAAAAGAAGTATATGCACTTCTGAAAAGGACTTTTGCATAAAATAAATATTATCAGCCCAACATGACATGACATCTTGCAGTGGCTGATTTATGGTTTTGGAGGTGAAGCTAATTTTCCAAAGTCAGAATCTTGGAAGTTAACACGGGAGACAAAGAACTACATCTACCAGAGTTTTGGGCAGCTGCTTAAGGGACAGACTTAAAGCTGAAAATCTATTAGATGAAAAGCAAAGTTTGTTTTTGTTTTAACATTTGGCAAACACATACACACAAACACACCAGTATCATTTGATATGGGATACTTTTGACTGAAATATTCTACTTCTGATTCATATTCTATAAATGCAGATTCCAATACATTCAAGCTGTTATGTGGTGCTGGATGCAATAAATATAATCAGAATATTTACAGATGCATTACAGCAGGAAATATTCCTAATTTTACACACAGGAATTTCCTGGATTCAATGTCATTTGTTCCTGGCAAAGTCTATCCTTTGTCTGCATATATTTCTGCAAGCAGTGAATGTTATCTTATGTAACTGGGGGATATATTTGTGCCAATTTTATATATTCTGGACAATAACGACTAATTAAACATTTAATCTTCCAACCTGAACTCTAAGTACGTGGAATTTATTTTACCAACACAATTGAAATGCCAGTATGTTATGAACATGGTATGCTTAGATATTTATATATATAATAAGCCTTGGCTTTTTTTAGTAGGGGAAAGGTGAAAGAGAAAAATTTCCAAGGAGTTTCAAACATTTTAAAATTCTAGATTATTTTACAAATAAATATTAGCTTCTGAAGCCCCTTAATCTGTGTGTACGTGGATTATATACTAGAATACAAAAGGTAACATTTCAGAATTCTTTCTTTAGTTTCAATTGTAGATGATATAAAAAAGTAATGATGGTGTTCCTTGAAACCAATGGTTTGCAAGGCGTATCTCATTAAATTATAATGTTAGAAGCTGGCTTAGCATGTTCTCTGAACCAGGCAAACTCTTTTATAACACCATCACCTATACCTTAGTGTGTTGGATGAACCCAATTAATTATAGTTTAGCATACAAATCATTTTTAAGGAAACCATGCTGATCTGCATGTGCAAACCTCAATTCTTAGTTCTTTTATTCAATCTCAGATCTACCTTGAAACTTCCAGCTGCTATTACACAGTACTAGTTCCAAGTAAGAAGTTAAAAGTCAGCCAACGATGACTTTTAACTGAGTTTGATATCAGTTCATTCTAACAGATTATACTAAATCTACACAGAATAATTATTGAATCAACTAGCACTGACCAAAAAAACAAATATAGGCAGCTGTTATTATTTGGCTATTCAGAGCATTAGTGCAGTTTTAGAAGCAAAATTATTAAAGGATTTCTGAAAGGATTAATATTATAAGACAACAAAACTTGCTTTATATAAATATTTTTTCACTGAATTTTGAAAGATTGCATTTCAATGAAAAACGAAGGAAGCTGAAAGTCTATTGTTTCTTTAAATGTCCTTTTCTGGATTACCTGAATATTTAATATTGGAGGATAGATCTTCTTGCCTTCTCGAACAGTGATTTTAAAGTTTAGGATAAAATAAAAACACATTTTAAGGAACATCTCAGGAAACTTTTGCACTAATTCTCTTATAGAAAGCAAGCAAGGACATCTTTCATATTATGAACAATTTATTCTGATATGGAAAATTAAAAAGTGAGAGATCTGGATTCAGTATTGTTGACCAAACCAATTCTATATGCATGTAAGACAAATCAAGAAAAGATTACTGTAGATCACTCTATGTGAAACCTAGATGTATTGTTTTAAACTATAACATTGCATGGAAAACAGCTGCATGCAAAGACTTGATTCCACGCCCAATTAATTCCTTTTGAATCAAATCTCTATCCCTTGTGGTGGCAGTTCCTCATTCCAAAATGAAATGATCCATAGAGAATAAGGTTGTTAAGTTAGGATGCCTATATACAATGTCCAACATTGGAAGGAGGTATTTTACTTAACATCAGATATTGAGCACCTCAAGTAAGTTGTGCTATAATACTCAAATCTTGGTGGGAAAAGTATTCTAGACTAAATAGGTTTGATCCTAGAGGATTCTTAAGCTAATTATTGACTAACAAATTGCATTTAAAGTATTGTAAGAGGGTCAACACCTAACAACCAAGTTTTACATACTACATCTAGTATAATAAATTCTACTATCATTAATTGTGATTTCTATCAACTATTTCTAATATAACAGTCTATGACATCCTCTTTTGCTCTTATTAACTGAAAAAAACCAAAACACTATATTACTCCATTTTATACTTGAGAAAAAGATATTCGCCCATTATTGCATACAATTATAAACAAATAGAACTTTCCCATAAATCAAACATTACAAATATATTAAAAACAGACTCCAAAATAGATTAGTTTCTCTTTATTAAAAATTATCATAATAGAAAATGACCCAAACTGTAGCACCTGTAATACAGGCAATCCTCAACTTACAACAGCTTGTTTAGTGACAGTTCAAAGTCACAATGGCACTGAGAAAGTTACTTTTGACCATTTTTCATACTTAAGATCATTGTGGCATCTAGAAAAGCAAAACATAAGAGTCTTCCTAATCTCATTATGTTGATAGATATAGAAATACTATATTAATGTCTAAACAGGATATCTAAAGTAAGTTGATACAGGATTGCAAATTTTTTATTTTAGTAGGTTCCAACTATGAAGATTTATTACTTGTTTATATACTTGCAAAAAATCCCTGGAAAATTTCACTAAAGGTTCTAACCTAGCTTCTTTCAAATTCCATCATAATACCTGTTATGCATAGGCATTTTTTTATAATTAGTCATCATGTACATTTGAACCTCATATTATTACATATCAGACATATTACTCATCTAAAGAAACAGTATGATTAGAACTACTGGGACTCCACCCATGAAAATTCTAAATGAATCTTCCCATACAACTATCATATCAGCAAGAACATAGCATAAATCATAAACATGAACACAAAGGAGTATTCTGTTACTGATGAACAGCCTTGTATTGTTTCTGGACCATTTATAATATCTAAAACTTACAAAAGCTAAAACCATCATAAATGAACAACTCTTTCCTTTTTAAAAAAATATATTCCAAATCATATTTTCAAACCTATAAAAATTAGGCCAGAAATTACTGTGACCTGAGATATAATATATTTAAAGATCACATGCAACAAAGGTTGCAATAATCTTTAGTGGAAATTAAGTTCTGTTGAATTCAATATGGGTTATTTCTGACTAGGTAGGCAACGTGTTTTATCCTTGGAGTGGAGAAGCTTCTGCCTTAGTGTATTCTTGTTCTCCAAATTTGTGCCACGCGAATACACTAAGACAGAAGCTTGTCCACCCCAAGCATAAAACACCCGAACACAAACTGAGCAATGTGACATATGTAATACAGATAGTCTTTGACTTATGACCACAACTGAACCAAAAAATTTGTATTGCTGAGATGTTTGTTAAATGAGTTTTGCCACATTTTACAATCTTTCTTGCCATAGTTGTTAAGTGAATCATTGCAGTTGTTAAGTTAGTAACACAGTTGTTAAGTGAATCTGGCTTCCCAACTGACTTTGTCAGAAAGGTTGCAAAAGGTGATCACATGACCCTGGAACACTGCATTTGTCATACATATGAGTCATCTGCCAACCATCTGAATTTTGATCATGTGACCATGGGCATGCTGCGACGATCAAAAGTGTAAAAAATTGTCATAAGTCACTTTTTCAGTGCTATTGTTACTTTGAACAATCACTAAATGAACTGTTGTAAGTTCAGGACTACCTGTACAGTGCAGTGAGATAAGTGCAGATCTGTACATTGGAAAAACAAAACAACCACTTCTCAAATGCATGGCACAACAGAGGAGAACAAACCATCAGGACAAGATTCAGCAGTCCATCTGCATTTGAAAGGAAAAGGTCACTCTTTTGAAGATAGCGGACCACATTGGTTTGAAAGAGGGGTAAAAGAGGCCACCTATATTAGAATTGAACAGTCCTCCCTCAACAGAGGGGGAGGAATACAACAACACCAATCTCCTGTCTACAACACAGTCCTTTCAGCAGTTCCAAGAAGATTCCACTCCCATTTGCACTCTGATTCAGGTCACCCTGAGGGCACAGATAACTCCCAAGTGGCTCTCAGACAGAGTGCTATTGAACAGATGACTGCAAAGAATTATGATCCTTCCATCCCACTCCTCACCATCCTCTCATAACTAATCTTTCCATCGTTTTCCACCATTCAGTCAGAATTGATCTTCTTTGATGAGAAGCAAAACATCTTCCTCAAGAAAAAAAACAGTCTAGTTGCCTTTTGAAAAAGTACCTTTGAGACAACCATGACCTGGATGACTGAGAATCTCCACAGACATTTACCCATTTTGAATTTCTATTTTACATGCAATTTTAATATATTCTATATACTTTGAATTGTTTAGAAGGGACTACATATTCTAAGTTAAGTTCTAATTTCAAAATTAACTTGGATACCATATAGGATGAATATTGTTTTAATGGCAATATTTAATAGTCCTAAAAAAATATAGGTTGATTTAGGCACAACTAATTCCCAGTACAAAAGATATTCTTTTTATTTTTCCTTTTTGTGTTCCAGAAATCAATGCATACATGTGGCACCATGCCCATCCACTCAAATACTTAAGTCCCACACCTATGCCTCTGGAGATGGATGTTTGAATGCGTAGGAGGAAAAGCTCAAGCACAGAAGGGTTAGGCTGGCAATATATTCACTTAAACAAACTATTCCTTATATGTGCTCTAATACTCAGATTATCCAAATGTCTTTGCTTAAAATTCTCATTCAATCTACACAACTAATCTCAAACATAGTTGATTACATTCTCTGCCCCACTTCCTCACCTGACCACGTTAGGATGCTCAAATGTTTCCAGATGCTTCAAGACTGCCACCTCGCGTATAGTGGAAAGCGGCATTCCTTCCTCGCTGGTCTGCACTCGCACCCTCTTCAGTGCTACAAAGCGCCCTCCATTCTTCAAGTCTCGAGCCTTGAACACTTTCCCATAGGCTCCTTCACCAATTTCCGCCACACATTCATACTGCTGGTCAGCTAGGCTCATGTTGTCCTTATCCATGACTTCACGGCTTTCCTTCTTCACAAATTGTTGCCTGATGTTTTAATTGTTGAATCTGTTGACCTGGATTCCAATTGCCAAAATGCCTTTTCTGCTACTTCAACAAGTATTCAGAACAATTACTGATGGGCCAGTCAACAGAATGTAACATTCAAGAACTGTAGTAATAAACTGTGGTTGTTTTATTGCTTAGCTGGTGAATGGTCTTTGGAATAAATCTCTGTGTAAACCCAATTCAATCTATAAAACCAAAGTGTGTGTGAGAGAGGAGAGAGAGAGAGAGAGAGAGAGAGAGAGAGAGAGAGAGAGAGAGAGAGAACATATTATTTCTCCATCACAGAATATCTTTTCATTTATCATTGCAACTGTTCACTTACTTAATACATAATATAACAGAATTATTTTCACTACTTAGTATGCATTAATCAGGCTACGTTCCCATTATTAGCATTAATATCTCATTCCTATATTAGTAATTTTGTCTCCTTTCAAAGAATGCTCATTTTATTTTCTCAACAAAACTGTCAAGTAAATTGGTCTCAGAGACAATAGTTGGAATTACCTATTACACCAAACCAAGGGTAGTTTTAAACCAGTTATGTTTATATTATCAAGTTGTAACTGGATACACACAATGTATTAAGCCAAACAAATTACAATATGACACAACTCATTCTTTGAACTTCTTCACTGAATAGGTCACAATCTATACATTTTAAACTCCCTAAGTTAAGACTGTCATTACTGAGTTAAGTCTCAAAAATTTACTAGTAACCAATCTTTTAAAACTGAAGGTTTCTATTTCTATTAGCAAAAATTTCCAAACCATCTTCAAGGTCAGAGTATATAATCCACTGAGATGCTCTTCAGATTTATAGACTTCAACTTCTAAAATTTCTCACCAAATAATGGCTTTTCTGAGAATTTTGCTGTTACTGAGATCTCTGGGAATCATGTCCACATATCTAGAGGAAATCCAAACTGGGAGAAAACAGTAATATAATTGGAGAATTACTACTGACAGCAACAGCCAAATAAGCAAAGCTGCACCCAGGCAAAATAGAAAAGGAATGGGCTTGGATAAAGGCTGGGGACTTTTCAGCTTCCATTTGCGCAGTTAGCAATGTGCAAGACAAAGCCAAGATATAGAAGAAATGCATTTTTTCAATATTTGTAAAACTGGTCATATTTGAATTTAAAAATGCCAATTCTTATATATGTCCAAAGAGACATCTGCTACTTTAGAAGAAAAGAAACTCATATATACGGGTTTATCCAAAGGGTGATAGAAGATTTCTAAATGTTCATCTTAAAACAAGGTGATAATCTCACTAAGCACAATGAATGCTTTCTATGTGTAAGATGTGTCCTACTGAAATTACCAGGCTTAAAAGTGCTTTCTTCACATCTAGTGAGTAATAGTAAAATAGGTAAATAGTAGAGTTAATTTTTAATCAAACACAAAACAAATTTAATAAATCCAAACCCCATAATATTTATGTCTAATCTTTTTCTAGATAGACATGTAAAATATCCAGTATGTGAAGAATTCACAAGACAATGTGGGAATGATTCAACAATGAAAAATCAATGCATGGTTGAGAGAAGTAAGCTTTATATCCGCTGATGTCATCTACAATCAGTGATAAATTATGACTGGCTACAGCAAATTCAACCTTCAAGTAATAAGGAGTGACAAGAGCCACAAAACCTGTCTATATACAGATCACCAACTTCTCTGCATTATCACTAATGAGCAACCAAAGTATCACCAAGAATCAAAACCTCTTTTAATTTTGCTGGAAATAAATGCCAAAAATCAGTGATTATGAAAAAAACAGATTCTTTTAACATAACTTCAAGATTATTAAGGTAATTGCTAATATTTTATAGATAAAAAACTGAAACTAATTCAGTAAACTATAGAAAAGACAATGGGTACATTTAGATAACAGTTAAGCCAGAATTTTTAAAGTTTCTTGAAGAAACTTGCCTCAAACAAAACATTAAATCGAATGTATGCTTGAGCATGAACCAGGCCTATGGTTCATATGAGTGTTATGTAGCTGAGTTTATTAACAACAAAATAACTGATTTTACATTCCAAACTTTAGCCGCTTAGCTATCCCAAAGATATTTTCTATTATTGAACCTCCTTTTCTCATCCTCCTATTTAATTCTCTACTTCTGCCATTGTGGCTATGTAAACCAAAAACTTATTTGCAATGTGGGTTGCTGTGGACTAAGTACATCTTATTAAAACACTCATGTTCTTTACAAAGTTTGTGCAGATGGTTAAAAATCCTCCTATCTGAAAATACATTTTCTGGGATTACTGGTAAAGAAAAGAAACCGAGTATGCATATGTATTCTACAAGACTGATTTCAAAGTAGACACACAAGCCTTTTAAAAGGTGTGGATGCTATAATGTCTTAAGAAAGATGCTCTATTTGTGCTAACTTACTACAAATTCTTCATAAAGTTCTATTGTCTGTATTTGTCTTCTACACAGATCGTGAATTAATCTAAGAATTTCTAATCAATGAAGTCGACTGGCTGGGAAGACATCTCTTTTTCAGTATACTAGAATATGCTAGGTTGGACAAGGCTTGCCTTTTGGTGATTGCTATACTTTGGTTATTTTTCTTATAAAGTGTTTTCCCATTATACCATCTTTCTTTTTTCCCTAATTACTCCAACTATCCTTATTATTTGTGCTACAGCATAGTTTTCCTTTTAAAATCTTATGTTGCTTTCCATACCTTTCACAGCTTTCTATTTCTCTCATTGATTTTTCCCTCCTGCCCTAAGCTTTCCTTCCCTTTTCAACATTAAACTCTTTTTCTTATAGTTTACTCAAGAATTATGAAGTTCAGTTTTTTTCAGGTTTTATGTATGTTTTCCTACACTGCAATATGAGCTTTTAGTCTGCATATTTAAGCTCTCTGCTTGTCCTAACTCTACTGGTGACAACTTCTTGAGCAGTTGAAATAGTATGAATAATACTATTCTCTAAATGACTATTCGAATTTATTAAGTTGAAGAATGGAGATTATTTTCTGATAAATGTGTAAATGTATCCATGACATCACTACTTATGATTTCCACAATGTACGGGAAAACAATATATTGTATGAAAATGAATAAATTTAATATGACATGTGCCAACCTTAATTAACATATGCTAGCTTTTCCCAACCAATGTCCTATAAGCATTTCTGAAGGCATGCGTATTTGCATCATTTTGGTACTTTAAAAAAAGATCACTGACAGTTAAGACATTTGTCTTCTTAAGGAAACTCTATTATCTTTAATTTTTAAATAAATACTTACAGATAATTCTTCTTTTTATATCACCCTATATCATTTTTCTCTTCTTCCAGAATTACTGATTTGTAGAATTATTATAGTCCTTATTAAAGTCTACAAGTACCTCTCTCAGAACTATGATTTAAAGGATGTTTGGAAACATTGGTGTTAACTAAGCTAAAAACTGTACAGATTTGTTTTGAAATTGTGATTTCCAAGTCTGTTGGGCTACAATTCCCTTGATCCATGACAATTTGCCTATACTTTCTTTTAAACATATTACAAAACATTATGAAAGAAGGTTTTATATTTTCACAAAATTATTTTAATATGGACGTGGACTCTGGAGAAGATAAATAATTTGAAAACAACACAAGCTTGTAAATATATCTTACAAGTGAGTAAACATTTAGTAAATTAAAGGTAGGAAAATTTACCTCAGAAATATACAGCATTTTTATAGCTAGCAGCAACAGACTATAAATAAGTTCACTAAGAAGATGCAATCCAAGAACAACAGTGGGCAAGTAATGTCACACAAAATGAGCAGAGCTCCACCTTGCATGTTTCCCACATCTGCAGTATTTTCTAAGTTTTGTGTTTCTTGCTTATAAAATGGTAAGAAATGTTACCACTAACTTATAGCAATACTATCAGAAAAAATGGTTTCCCTTCTGGCCAGAAAACAATAGTCTTAAGCAGGTAAAAGTTTTTCCCTGCTCAGTCATGTCCAAGTCTAGGGGGCAATGGTCTGTTTCTTATCCGAGGGAGCCAGTGTTGCCCAAAGACATTTTCGTGGTCATAAGGCCAGCATGACTATATGTGAGGTGCACAGAACGCTGTTGCCATCCCACCAAAATGGTACCTATTTGTCTACTTGCATTTGCATGCTTTTGAACTGCTAGGTGAGAGGAGCTAGGGCAGGGATGAGAGTTCACCTGGTCAGATGGTGCTTGGGTCTTGAATCGAGGTTGTCAGCTTTTCAGCTGAAAAGAACAGCTTCTTTAACCTCTTCTCTTCAGCAGGTAACATAGTGCAACTTATTTTTGAGTATACACCTGTAGTAGTGTATGTATCAATGAACTTGAAGAGAGTGATATGTGTAAAACAGTATTCTACATGTATAGGATCAATAAAAGCCCTGCATCGTCTCTTAATAAATCTGCAGCAACCTTTTGTTCATTTTTTATGATATGCAGCAGTCTTTTGTGATCCAACAGTTATTGATTCATTATAGCATTGAAAAAAGTTTCAAAATAATGGACTGGGAATACCTTAAGCATTGGAAATATGATACAAATTCATTCAAGAAAATAATAAATAAATAAATCAGGAACTACCAACATAATAGTTGCCCCTTAGTAATTCACACATTTTTAACCTGCAATCGCTTTGCAAGTTGAATCACTATTCAACTTGCAATTCACACATTTTCAACTTGCAATCACTATTATCTCCAGAAAAAAAGCTACATTCTGTTTTTGCACTATTTTGTATTGTGATATGGTCAGTGGTCTCAACTCCTTGTAGTGTTATACCCAATGTTACAACAATTCATTGGCAAGGAAGATAATGACTTGAGTAATACATGAAATGCCACAGATAAAAGCAACTATCAAGTTTTTTCTGCTCATAGACTAAAAGAAAATATGAATAAAAACCTCTTAAGCAGAAGCCTGGTCACAACTGAAATACCTGCAAATGATTCAGAAGATATTTACTATGTTGGCCATAGTGTTTTATGAATTAACCTCTTTCATATAGATAGATATAATGTGCTTTATCTGGTGCTGCCCTAATGGTCAGCTGCATAAACCATAACTGGCGTCCATTTGTATCTGGACATAATTTAAGCTGCTGGCCTGTACTTGCACATTCCTAAACAAATTGAGGCCATATTTGAAACATCATTTTCTCCCAAAGGAATCTACTTAAAGATCAGTTTCAAGAGGTTCTTCTATATTTCCTATCACTAGAAAGCTCACATAGATAGAAACACAATATAAGGACTTTCTGCAGGAACCATTGTAAACTAACACAGTTTCCTTCCTAGGTTAGAGTGTTCTTCATTTACTTTTGGGAAGGTTATTCAAAAATATTTTGTTTAACTGGGCATTCAAATGCTTTTAAATGTTTTGGGTTTTCTCCCCTTAAATTTGCTATCTGCTTTAAAATGTGCAAATTGTTGGGTAAGGGAAAAATTCCAAATAAGTAGCTCAGATATAATTTTATAAAGACTTTCCTTACTATTGCCAGCTAAGTGTGTGGGTGTTAGTGCCTGAAGATTTTGTTTCAATTAAGATGCTTTCTCTCAACAAAGTTGTTCAGGAAAAGTAATACTTTTACTTTCTCAGCTATATAATTCTTAATTATGTATATATAGTAGATCAAAGGATGTATGAAATTTGAATTCCACTAACATTAGTGGAATTGGGAAGAAATAAAGTCCATAACTGTCCAAAATAGCCATTCTTTTCTGTGCCAGATATAAACATTCAGAATTTTTAGAGTTCTAACCTTGGCTTGTTAACAAATTGAGTTATTAGTTTTAAACCAATTCTCAATTTACATACAATAATAAATCTGGAATTGCACTGCATTCTGGTTTCTATTCTTACACAGAAGAACATGAAAAAGAAGGCACACAAAGGGGCTTTTCCAAAAGGTAACTGGGCAAGAAAATCCAGTTGCCTTTTGGAAAAGCACCTTTGGGACAATTATGACACCGATGATTAAGAATCTCCATAGAGATGAAAGAGAGCAGTATCTGAATTTCTCACTTTACATGAAATCCATCCAACTTGTGTATGATACAAAATCACATCTCAATTCAGCCACCTCACATTTTCCAAATAAACTTGATTTCGGGACCCATCATTTCCAGCCAACACACGTAATGATACAGATAAAAGGGAACTTTAGCATTTATATGAACAGTTTTTCATTTCTCAGAGTCAACTAGACAGTAATTATGGGTTGGATTTTTTTTAAAAAAAAAAAAAAGGGGGAAGAAGGCAAAGAAGTATAATTTGTCCTTCCTAGACTTCAACCCAACAAAAAATAGATCACTCCACAATCCAGAAATAATAGCTAACTATGTAATAAATTTAATATTTACTTTGCCTATTTAATATTATGGTTTATTTTTACTATTTACAACATAAATTTGAGTTCCATTTCTAATTTTCACAATTTCTCTTACTCAAAATTAGCAATTCTGTTCTGGTACCAAACAGGAGAAAGCTAATCTACAAAAGAGCAGCAGTGATTCTCTGTGGTTTTTGGCAGGAATTGTTGCCAGTCATAACTGGACAAACCAGAAATTAAAGATGGGAACTTTAGCATGCCTAAAGGAATTTGGAGTACAAATTCTGCATGTTGTGCTGCTAAAACAGAGGACCCCAAAGTGGGAGAGGCAACTCTGAAGCTCAAGGATAGCTGTGGATCTTTTGGAATGGGGGGCAGGCACTGTTCATATGCTAAAAAGCTGTCATCCTTTTGTCCGTAAGATTATAATTACTTTTATAAAATAAATTTTGTCCCCACTTTTTTTCACCATAAAATTCAAAGTTGCTTTTCTAAGTGTTTCAGGAGGTGTCTCCAAACCAATTGACTAGCCCAATATAATTTCTACAAGGCTACTACATTATTAAAATCTGCTTGAAAAGTAACCGGACAATTCTACCACAACCAGGACCCTCATCTATTAGAAATGAAAGACAACCACCCAAAGTAACTATAAGTTGCAACTGCAGGAAAGAACATTCCAAGCACCCCCCACGAAGTAGACCCTTCGCTGAAGTAAAGGGTCATTAGCCAATAGAAAATAAGAATGACCAACGAGAGAGCGGAGGCGCCGAGTGCTTCTGGGATGGAAGTCGCCCCCACTGTCCAGGCGGCCTCAGATGTGCGAGGCTGGAAGATGGGAAACTGAGGCGGCTCCATGTTGGAGGTCGTCAAGGGGCGGGGGCTCAGGCAATACCGTTTTCGATTGTCGGAGGCGGCCACGCATGCAGCCCGGGGATGGTTGTATGATGCGTAGTTCCATGCGGAGCGCTCGCGGCGGCTGGCGACAGACAATTATCGTTTTAATAAAAATACACATCCTACGGAGCGAAAAGGGGGGGGAAGGTTTGTCAAGGGATTAAAGTTAGAATTCCCACTCCACGAAATTACGTTCAACTGTTTGCCGTGCAGAAATTAGGTGAAGAAATCATGCATCAACTTGATGCGCTACATGTGCTACTAGGCTGTCGGCAACAGCACGGCTAGGGCGGCTGAACCCCTTCCCTTTTTTCTAATATCCTTCTGAAGCCTCCTAAAATAGAAAATAAACGAAGTAAGTGTTTGTTTTGCGCAGCAACACTTCCCCACCATTTCTTACTTTGGCCACGGCTAAGACGGCTCAACCATGTCCATGAAAATCCCACGCGGACACCAAACGCGGTTCTCTGTAGAAGCTCCGGCGATCGCACAAGGACCACCCCAAAGCGCTCCCCTATGAAGCATGCAAGTTAACGTGGAGAGAAGGGAGAAAACGAATAACAATACTTTTCAGTCTCCACCCCTCCCCCCTTTTTTGTTATCTCGAAAGCCCCATTCCAGCCACCCACCTCTGGAAATTAATGAAGCATTAAGCTACTGGTCTGTTAAGAGCACATGGGCACTTTTAGAAGTACCTGGAATTGCTCAGGCGCACTTCGGCTGTTCTGAAGAAGTTACCACTTGAGTGGTCTCCAGCAAGACAGGGGTTAAAAATAGTTAAAAAGAAAAAGATGAAAAGCAAAGACCTGGTGAAGCAGGAAAAACAATGGAGAGTCTTTTCTGTTTTTTTTTTTTTTTTAAATTCCGCTTCCCGTGAAAATAAGGAGACACGCAGCAGATCCGGATTCGAAGAGTTCACATGGTGACAGGGGAGGCTGAGCTTCCACGAGCGGAGCCCAGCAGCCGCGACTGGGGCCACACAGGTAGTGGCAGCAGCAACTCCGAAGCTCTATCGCTGCCCCGCGTTCGCATCTTCCTGCCAGCCGGGAGGGCAGGCTACACCTTAAAGCGCTGAGATCCCCTCCCCCTCTTTGGGGAAAGAGTGAAAGAGGCGCTGCTAAATTTTCGGGGCTGATCAAAGCCTTGCAACGAACAGTCTCCCGAGTGCAAGGCTCCGCGTTAGCTCTGCACGCCGCCGCCGCCGCCGCCTCTCCACGCAGTCCCAGTTTCTCTCTCTCTCTCTCTCTCTCTCTCTCTCTCGGTTCCTGAGCTCGGTTTGACACCAGCAGCAGGAGCAAAAGAGTTTCCCCCCACCTCGCCTCTACTTTTTTCCCCCCTTGGTTTCCCACGCTGGCTGAATGTGATTTGACCCCGTTTCAAAAAAGTTTGACATAGTGCTTCAACATTTCCGCATTCCAGCCAGACTACAAAGGCAGCGGCCGCCTTCTTCTCTTTTCTGTCTCTGCTCTCTGTCTTCACACTCAATGAAATCCTTCACGAGCTCTCTGCCAAAGCAGCCGCATACCGCAAGGGTCGCATCGGCGAGCACAGCGCAAGAAGCAGGCGCCCCAAGGCCGGAGGAGCACGCAGGCTGCTCGGTGAGGCGCGGGAAGGACAACCCAACATGGGGAGGAGCGCCGGCCGCATCACAACGCTCTCCTGGAAGCCTTCCATGCTCGGCGCTGTATAAATCTCAAGGAAAAACTGTAATGATGGGAACGAGCATTGTGATCATGACGCCCGTGAATAAGAATAATATGGTCGTGGAAGACCTTTAATCTGACTTTCCTGTGCAAATTTCATCCCGCATTGGGTAGCCTTAGGCAAGAGTATTTTCAGTCCTTTCATCCGCATTAGATTCAGGAATGATATTTAATTGGTTTTAACAAAACACATAGTTTACCCCACAAATTAACCTCCAGGGCTCTTGTATATTGCAGTTGAGACTGGCTAAATAAAATATCCATGAGGCTGATTAAAGAAAAACATCCATAAATACCCTCTTATCAGCAAAGTTGCTAGGGTGCAGAATGGAGGATAGAAAAGACATAAGGAAACATTATTGGAATATATTTCCTTCTAATTTGAAATTACACCTTTAAAAAAATAACGTTCTTTATAATATTTGAAAGGATACCATGTAGTGTTAAGCTATGCAGAGATTAAAATCTCTCCTAGACTATATCCTATCAATCCAATTGAAAATAATTCTACAGTTGAAAATAGTGTAACTCAAACTCCTATTGAGTTTAAAACCAAATTATATTTCCATAGTTAAAATAAACCACATTGGATCCAAGAAGGTATTTTTACAGTATTATTTTTCTTCTCTTTCTGTTCTGCTTTGCAATATTGTGTTTACTGATAGGCTAATTAACTATATGTTTAATCTGTTTTAGGAACAGTAATGCAAGTAGGGGCACTATTAATACTACATTAGAGTGCAACATAGAGGATATGCAACATTAACCTTGATTTTCCAATAATTTACTTTTTGTGAAATTATAGTCAATAATATTAGATCTTTACCCTTTGACATAGTATTTCACTAGATAGCAAGGGTCTTGCATTGTTTAGCTTTCTCTTTTTTTCTGACATCTTACATATCATTAATTTTCTCCACAATGGGCAATTTTCATACTGAATGCTGTTCTAGCCCAGCATGAACCTGTTTTTTTTTAGTTGTGTACTTTTAAAGCAAATTGTGATGCTTGTGCAAAAGCATCCTCACCCAACTTAATCTTACTTAATAATCCTATTTAATAATATTTAATAAAATGCTACTTAATAATAGCAGTCAGACATCTTTGGACCAAGCTACCAACAAAAAGAAATTCATTGTGCGCATTGGAATGTGTGTTTTCCACGCACAAATCTTTCCAACTTGCATTCCAATGAGTATATTGTCATCTACTATGTGGCAATATACATCTATTTCCCATTAACTTTGGTCACCTTCCCTGTACAGAAGATAAAAAGGTAGTAAGGCCTTAAAGGAAATGTTTTCTATTTAGTAAATATAATGCGGATTGAATAAAACTGAATGGATGGAAACAAAAGTTGAACATATAGAAACTGCTGGGAAAAGCATTCCAGATTTAAGTGAAAAATTGATTGGGGAGGGGGAGAGTCCTTGGTACTCTTTGAGCTTGATTGGAGATGTTTCATTTCCAAACTAGGTAACATCATCAGTGCCAGTAGGAGTGGGGTTTGCCCTCACTTTAAATGCAAGTAGCTTGTCGTACCAGTGTTGGGGAAAGTGGTCTTGGTTGTTCCTTGATTGAGTTGCTATTGACTGTTAGCTTGTTTGTCTGAGTTGGTATACCTTGATTGGGGTACTTTTTCTTTTTGATTGTTGATTGTTGTTTGCTTCTTGATTGGTTCCTAATGTTTATTATCTGAGGAACACCAAGAGAGTTTATTTGGTAACTTTGTAACATTATAAAAGCTATCATTAATAGATCCCAGTACTTTAAGACGAATACCACCAGAGTCAATCAATCAACCAACCAATCAGAAAAGAGCTGGAAGGGATCTTCGAGGTCTTCTAGTCTAACCCCCTGCTCAAGCAGGAGACCCTATACCAGTGATGGCGAACCTTTTAGAGACCAAGTGCCCAAACTGCAACCCAAAACCCACTTATGTATCGTCGGGTGCTGAGTGTGCGTGGCCCATTGCGTGGGCGTAGCCCATTGGGTGGGCGTGGCTGTGGTGGTAACGGCAGACTGGATGGGACTAAAAAGTTCAATCAATCAATTCCAACTTTGCGAGATCTTTTTTTTCCTGCAAGAAATTGAAATTGATTTTTTTGCACACGGCAGCGGAGGCCTAAAGCGAAAAGGTTTTATAAAACCCAGCTGAAGGCCTAGGATTGGGGCAATGGTGTGTGTGCCCACAGAGAGTGCTCTGCCATAGGTTCACCACCATGGCCCTATACCATTTCAAACAAGTGATTGTCCAGTCTCTTTTTAAAAAACTCCAGAGATGAAGCACCACAACTTCTGATGGCAAGTTATTCCACAGGTTAATTGTTTTCACTATTAGGAAGTTTCTCCATAATTCCAGGTTGCTTCTCTCCTTGATTAGTTTCCAACCATTGTTTCTTGTCCTGCCTTCTGGTGCTTTGGAAAATAAGTTGACCCCCTCCTCTTTGTTGCAATCTCTCAAATACTGGAATACTGCTATCATGTCCCCCACCCCAGTCCTTCTTTTCTCTAGAGTAGCCAAACCCAAATCCTGTAATAATTTTTCATATGTTGTCTCCAGGCCTTTAATCATCTAAATTGCACTTCTTTGCACATTTCTCATAATCTCAACATCTTTTTTGTAATGTGGTGACCAAAACATTACTAAGGCTTTATAAAGTAGTATTAATATTTCACATGATTTTGATTCTATGCCTCTGTTTGTACAACCAAGGATTATATTAGTTTTTTGGCTGCTGCTGCATACTGCTGGCTCACATTTAAGTGATCCTTCACTACCTCTCTCACAGTTACTGGTCTCTCTCTCACAGTTACTGTTTTTGAACCAGGTTTCACTTAATTTGTACTTGTATCTTTGTTTTTTCCTGTCTAAGTGTAAAACTTTGCTTTTCTCCACATTAAATTTAATTTTATTCAAGTCTGTCAAGATCTTTTTGGATCCTGAGCTTGTCTTATGGGACGTTAGCTATTCCTGCCAGCTTAGTGTCATCTGCAATTTGATACGTTCCTCATCTAAGTCATTTATGAAGATATTGAAGAGTACTTGGTCTAGGACAAACCTTATTTCCCTCCATGTAAATGTAGTACCATAAAGACGGTTGAGTACGGTTTGTCAGCCAGTTACAGATCCATTTTCTTGTTATTTATATGTTGAAATAAACTTTTTAATTATCTTTGACTTTTGTTGCAAGTCTTTGTTCATTCTGAGCCTTTGTTTTCCTGACTTCATCTTTGCAGATTCGGGCTGATACTCTGCCTTAGTTATGTGTTCCTCTTTCCATTTTTTGTACTTATCCTTTTTATCTTTCCATTTATCAGAGAGATCTTTGTGTAACCGTGCTGTTTCTTTTTGGATTTCTTGTTTTTCTTTTTCAGTGATATTGTGTTGGACTGGTCTTTTATGATCATATTTTTCAGAGTTTCCCACACTTCTTGTTTTCCCCTTTAGGATTTTCATCCACAGAATTTTTCTTAGGCTCTCTCTGAGTTTGTTATAATCAGCTTTTTGAAATTTAAGACACTGGTTGGATTATATTCTATTCTATTGCTTGTGTTAGCATTATATTGAATTCCAATATGATGTGGTCACTCTCGTCCAAAGTTCTGGCAACTTCAACTCCCTCTATCCCTTCTCCTCTACTACTAAGAGTTAGGTTCAGTATAGATCTTTCTCTAATTCCCTCCTCTACCTTTTGAATGATAAAGTTGTTAGCTAACTTGATTATGTTTAATCTCCCACTTGCTGCACAGTTTGTCTCCCAGTTGATAACAGGGTAGTTAAGGTCTCCCATTACTACTGTAGTATATTTCCTACATATATTTGTTAATTGTTTATTTAATTATTCATCTATTTCTTTTGCTTAGTTGGGTGGCCTGTTGTATACGCCTATAGCAGGGGCAAGCAACCCAAAACACTCAAAGAGCCACTTGGACCCGTTTCCCACCAAAAACAAAACACCGGGAGCCGCAAAATTCTTTTGATATCTAAAATGAAGATAACACTGCATATATCCTTTTTTACCTTTATTATAGGTGTGTGTTTGTATGTATGTATGTGTGTGTGTGTGTATTATATATATAGAATGCTGTATGTTACACCCTGTTGCCCATATATGGGAGAGAGAAATCTTTTGCCTTGTATCAGCTCAAACTAGAGCCATCCACAGGCAGCAGTCACAACTGTGACATCATATACATTTCTAAAATTTGGATTGCTAGCAAAGAATTAAGGGAGAACTGGAATAGCTATTTCGAACTCTTTAGCTCTTTTCAACCAGACATACCCTTCTGAGATTCGAACCTGGGCTGTCTGCATGTTAGGCAGCTGTATTAACCTCTAGGCCACAGGTTCTGTCTCACTTTTGCCAGCTGTGTTAGGGAGGGAAGAAACAGGGGAGGAGTTATCTAGAATGCTGTATGTTATACCCTGTTGCCCAAATATGGGAGAGAGAAATCTTTTGCCTAACATGCAGACAGCCCAGGTTCGAATCTCAGAAGGGTATGTCTGGTTGAAAAGAGCTAAAGAGTTCGAAATAGCTATTCCAGTTCTCCCTTAATTCTTTGCTAGCAATCCAAATTTTAGAAATGTATATGATGTCACAGTTGTGACTGCTGTGGATGGCTCTAGTTTGAGCTGATACAAGGCAAAAGATTTCTCTCTCCCATATATGGGCAACAGGGTGTAACATACAGCATTCTATATATATATATATAATACACACACACACACACACACACACACACACATTAAAAATAAAAGTAAAAATATGACTCTTGGGAATATCCATACTATTAAAACAATGATCACCAAGAGAATGCTTTAAGAGAATAAAATTACATACACACACAGATAAAAAAAGGATATGTGCAGTGTTATCTTCATTT